AGGCCGCGGCCGGCACCCAGGCAGAGTCCGTGCCAGCCCCGCGTGCCAATTTTATAGCCGCCCGGTAGCTGCCCGGAATCTTGTATTTTCGCCTTCAAAATATTCTGGCGGTAATGGGTGAAATGTAATGGCAAGTATCCAAATGATATTTTGAGACCAAGACTGATTAGGAAAAAAAGGGAAGTGAAAGGAAAAATCATGAAATTCAAAAAATGGGAAACTAGAAGGCATATGCTTCGTCAGGGCATACATGTATGCCCAGACGAAGCATTAGCAAAAAGGCCGTTGGCATATTTGTGTGTTTTCTTGTCCTTCCCTGTGTTGTTCCTGCTGCTCAGTCACGTACATGTACCAATTGTGGAGACTCCCATAATGTATTTTATAGGAGCTTCCCTGCCTATAAGCTCAAATGTGAGGTAGCAGTCGTTAGATTCAAACTAAGCCTCACTCTACGTGAGGCCAGACAAGATGAATGATAAGGTTTTTCTCTCTCAACTTATTCCAAAACAGCCCTTCACACTGCTCCTCACCATCTTCATAAGATGTTCCTGCATCTCCCCTAGTATCTCTTCCTTATACCCTATATCATCATACGTCAACTCATCCTATCCCCCAATCAAATTCATTTTCCAGTCTAAATCCAACCATATCGACCCCTTTCTCCTCAATGTCACAAATGTTGGCATTTTGGCCACCCAGCCAAACACTGTCACTCCACAGCCTACTGCCCTCTATTTGCCCAACCTGGTTATGACCGTTCAAATTGCCCTGCTCCGTCACATACAGGTGCCAACTGTGGTGACTCTCATAATGTGTTTTATAGGAGCTGCCCTGCCTATAAGCTTGAATGTGAGGTAGCAGTTCTCAGATTCAAACTGGATATCACTTCACAAGATGTTTCATCTCCCCCAGTATCTGTTCCCTCTATCCTGAACCATCCTACTTCTACTCTTACCTATCCCCCTGTCAAATCCCTTTTCCATTCTAAATCCAGATACTCCAATTTCTACCACTTCTTTGATGCCTACCCTTCCTCCCCCTCACTCTACCCACCACATGAGACAACCTAAACGTTCTACTCCATCTTCACCTCTCCTACACCTCCTTTTACTCTGCTCCTGAAACATCTATCCCCTCTTCTCCTCCTCACAAGAGATCCTTTGTTTTTCTGACCTCCCTAACCAAATCCCCTCCAGAAACTCTTAACCCACTAACGCGGGTATATTTTGAAGCCGAAAATAATATTTTCCCTCCTGACACTCTTCCTGATGCTCACCTCCTTCCTCAATCCTCTTATCTCATCCCCCAGACTCTTCTCCAGCTACTTCTCCATCAGTCATCTCTACCCATTGAATTACCTATGAATATCTACACATTGAATTAATTGAATAATTGAATTACCCATTGAATGCTTCATAATAGCAATGTTCCTCAATCTTCCCCAGCAATGGATACACCCCAGTTCATCCAGTCACCCTATACCCTTAACCCTTTCCTTTATTAATATCCAATTTACTTCATTTGCACCCCGTCTTTACCCTTTCCCTATCATACTATCCTACAATCTTGGACATAAAACACTCTTTATCCAAATTGCACCATTCCCTTTTCATTCCCCATTATCCTTACAACTTCCACCTGGATGCTGATATGACTCCCTTCTATTGCAACAGGATATTTCTCCGGATCCCTCCCCTCCTGACATTTTTCCTGATACTTCACCACCTTCCCTAGTCCGCTTATCTCATTCCCCAGATTTTTCGCCTATTTCTCCAACAGCCATCTCTACCGGTATTACCAGTTGACTGTTTTACAGTGACACTTTTGCCAGTTTTCCTTAAACAGTGTCCCTCTTCCTTCCTAACCCACAGATACTCTCCATTTCATCCAATCACCCATTGCCTAAAACCCTTTCCTCTCTGCTTTACTTCATTTACTCCCCCTCTTTACCCTTTTCACTTCCATATCTTAATTGTTAACTCATTTTCCCTTTTTTGCCACAATATATATAGGTCATATATGTGTATGTATATATATATATATAATATATATATATATATATATATATATATATATATATATATATATATATATATATATATATATATATACATATATAAATGAATAAAATATATATATATATAATATATATATATATATATATATTATATATATATATATATATATATATTATATATATATATATATATATATATATATATATACAGATTATGACTATACAATATATATAGGTCATATATATGCTAGACATCAGAGGTTATATGGCACCTTAGTGCCATATGACTTAGCACATTTATTTGTTTTTAACCATTAACCATTTGTTAAGGTCAATCATGGAATTTTACTCCATAAGATAGAGAACCTTGGAATCGGAAAAGTAGTCATATGGATATATATAACTTACAAATTGCATGCAAAAACTAATTATTGATGGACATAGTTCTAGGACCCCTATTGTTCCTTATTATGATTGGGGACATTAATACAGATATTAAACACCAGAGTAACATCTTTTGCTGATGATACAAGGATAAGTACACCATTAGAATTGATTGAGGATGAAGACAAACTAAGAGAGGACCTACATGCCATATGTAAATGGGCTGGTGAAAACAGCATGAATTTCAAGTCTAAGTCCAAGGTCAAGATCATCGTCTGCTGAAAAATTAGAGATTAGGGAAAAATAGTTGTAAGAGTCTTAGGCTTGTTTATGAATAATGATATGAGCTGCAGGCTGTAAACAGATTGATGAAGAGGACAAGAAATCCATAACATCTGCCACTATAAAAAACAGTAATCATTCCAAAATCAGTACCAGGTAAGGAATCCAAGTCTTACAAAAAGACACAATATAACTAGAACAGGTTCAAAGGGTGTTAACCTGAAAATTAGATATTATGGCAGGTCTTAGTTATTATGAAAGGGCAAAACAATCCAAACTTTTTTTACAAAGGCAAAGATGCTTTAACCACTTGCTGCCAGGGATGGCATGTGCATAGCATAAAGACTAGACTGTGACATAGTATTCTATCACTGACAAATCTAGGCCCATCACCATAGGGTCAAAATGAATTATGTATTTCATCTGCTCAGGGAGAATCTTATCAGATAGGAATCTTCCATCTTTTCTTAGGTATCAATGGGAGGTGCTGGTCTTGTGCGATGTATTGATACAAGTGGAGATGGCCGTCTTGTGACAGTAGCCCATTCCTCAGGTGTTATATCAGTTCTCGACACTCGCACAGGACATTTGCTCTCCACTTGGAAACCACATGAGGGAGAGGTATAGTAATGTCTTAATTGTTCCTTGTAAGATCAGGTTTTCTGTCTCCTGCAATATATCTGAGTTTTTCTTCTTCCTTTTGATTTAACTTACCCAGTATTATTACAGAAAATAAAATGCTGTGTTTTGAATTAGCATTAGAAAATGAGTACCTTCTAATGGATTAAATATATTATATATATATATATATATATATATATATATATATATATATATATATATATATATATATATATATATATATATATATATATATATATATATAATATATATATATATAATATATATATATATATTTATATATATATATATATATATATATATATATATATATATATATATATATATATATATATATATATATATATATATATATATATATATATATATATATATATATATATATATATATATGTATATATATATATATATATATATATATATATATATATATATATAATATATATATATATATATATATATATATATATATAATATATATATATATATATATATATATATAAATATATATATATATATATATTATATATATATATATATATATATATATATATATATAAATATATGAATATATAAATATATAAATATATATATTATACATAAATACATATATTGCATATATGTATTTATATATACATACATATACGCACACACACACACACACACACACACACACACACACACACACACACACACACACACACACACACACACACACACACACACACACACACACACACATATATATATATATATATATATTATATATATATATATATATTATATGTGTATGTATGTGTATGTGTGTGTGTGTGTGTGTGTGTGTGTGTGTGTGTGTGTGTGTGTGTGTGTTATTTTATATTTATACATATATTAATATGAATATAAATAGATAGATAGATAGATAGATGAATGAATATGTAGATATATAAATATATACATATATAAATAAATGAATATGTGTTTGTGTGTGTGTGTCTGTGTGCGCGTGTGTGCACTTGTGTTTGCGCGCTCACGTGTGTGTGTGTGTGTGTGTGTGTGTGTGTGTGTGTGTGTGTGTGTATGTGTTTATATTTTATTATACTTATATTAATATGAATATAAATAGATAGATAGATAGATAAATAAATGAATATCTAGATATGTAAATATATACATATATAAATAAATGAATATGTGTGTGTGTGTGTGTGTGTGTGTGTCTGTGTGCGCGTGTGTGCACTTGTGTTTGCGCGCTCACGTGTGTGTGTGTGTGTGTGTGTGTGTGTGTGTGTGTGTGTGTGTGTGTGTGTATGGACAGATAGATAGATAGATAGATATAGATATATGAATGAATATCTAGATATATAGATATATACATATATAAATAAATGAATATGTGTGTATTGATAGATAGATAGATAGATAGATATAGATATATATCATGTTTACCCATTTCCTGATGTTTAGCAAGATTTGTTTTCAGTATCATATTGACTTTGTTGTTATTATTATATTAATAATATTCTATCAGTTAGAATGTCAATGATGATAGCTATCAATATTAGTAGTATTAGGGAAGAAAATCATACAGGTACATAGAATAAGGAAATCAGGTGCAGTCACTAGTTCTTACTAGTTGACTCCTTGGTGACAAGCATTTGTGAAGCCATCGGCATGCAACAAATTTCACAAA